CTCCTGCTGCTCCTGCTGCTGCTGCCCCCGCCGCAGGTAGCAGTGGTAGTGTTCTGGTGATTGTGGTGGTGGTGGTGGTGGTGGTGGTGGTGGTGGTGGGGGTGGCGGTGGCGGTGGCGGTGGGGGTGGCGGTGGCGATGGCGGTGGTGGCGGTGGCGGTGGCGGTGATGGTGGCGGCGGCGGCGGCGTCGGCTGCACGGTGGTGGCGGCGGTGGTAAAAGCAGTAGTATAGCAGCAGTAGGGGCCGTGGTTGCCGCGGTTTCTATGCGACACCCAAGGCACGACGATGCCGGCGCTGTAGTGGAAGACATTGGGCTCCAGAGACGCTAGCTCCATAACCTTTTGCACCGGCTCGGGTTTGAGAACTCAGGGGTTGCGACTCTCACCAAGATTGGGCTTGCAAGATCTCAGGTTTCACTTCGTTCGTGTCCGAAGGTAGGGTTTTCATATGATGTCGACTATCTACATCTCGCTACGCCACATTCACCATGACGTCATTGGGCTCCGACGTGTGGACCAGCAGCACAGACTTTCCAGCAGGGCCTTCTTGGAACCCGATTTGAGTTTCACGGTCTCCTCACACAAAAGTCAGCACGAAGACGATGGGTTCGAGTAGATGAGGGGTCCATCGCTCTTCTCACCTACTGCAGTAAGCTAATGCCCAAGGCCTTGAAGTTGGCCGTTTTGATGAACAGCAATGGTCCCGGAATCTGTTTCGCAACTCTTGCCTCATGCCTCATGCCGACTCATCTCCAGCCAAAGGAAAACAGCAACGCCCAAATTGCAGCCAAGAGGTGCAAACACAAACCTGAGGATCAGGGAACGGATCAACAATTGAAGCAAACATAAGTTCGGGTCACCACAACTCTTAACCCAAAACTCCGAGCCCCAAACCCCAAACCTGCAAACAGCCGGGGCAACCTGCAACACCGTCTGGGCAGTGAAGCTGCGCCGCGCCTCGCCACACAGGACGCTCAGAGACTTGGACTTGAGCTTCACGAGGGTTTGTGGGCTTTGGGGATCTGAGGCCAAGAGTTTTTGGACCGAGATCCTCCATGAATGTTGGGGTTCGGCTGTAGCTTTGTGGGACTACGGAGAGGATGAGGTGAGGCCGACGAGGTGCAACAAGGCCTTGCAAGAGGGAATGCAGGGCCAAAGTAATTTCAGACCGGGCTGACAACTGAGCACTTGCATTGCAGCCATCGAAGCCAGAAAGATTGCTGTGGAACGTGCGACACTGAGGTGCTTTCAGTTTACCCGATGTTTAAGCTTAGCAGAAAGTTCAGCAGCCGGTTGGAAACAGGATCTTTGCGGTCTCGGCCAAGGAAGCTCTTCCAAAGCGGCCAGTGAACGACGAAACCAGCCAACCTACCTTACCCTAGACCCGATCCCTGTAAGCCTCCGGCTCCTCCGAATGCCACTGACCTGTACCCATACCTTCCCGCAACTGCTCGTCGGTATCGTGTTTCGACTCACATGGTCTGAGAGCATTAGACTGTAGACTCAGGCTGACTCAGGGTTCCGAATCGCAGAACCAGCAAAGCATACCTACAGCACCCGACCCCTGCAGCTTCCTTGCCCAGGCTTCCCAAGGTGGCGGTGGCCAGCTGCGGCTGCGTCGCCCACTCATCCAGGACGGGTCCCAGGACTTCCACAACCTCTCCGATCACGGTCTTACGGTGTGGCAAAAGTGGCGGCGGTGTCTAGATACTGTAATTTTCGAAGAGAATATGGTAGCAGATTTGTTTGCAACCAGGTTGCTTCCGTCATCGCCGCTGTCATCGACATCATCGCAAACAGCAGCGGCATCATCTGGTGCCGCACCATCGTCATCAGCATCCCCGTCGTGGCCATTGTCGTCATCAGTCATCGCCACCATCACAGTAACTCACTCAAATCCAGCCAAAAAGCGCCCGTGCGGGGAGAAGGCAGTGAAATCATCACCATCACCAGCCCCTTTATCGTCACCATAATAATACAACAATCGCAGTACAGTTGCTGCCTTAAACGTCTGATGCTGGAGAGTCTGGGTGTCATTACCAGATTATATCATGGTTACGTTGTTGTCACTAAGAATGTATTCATTGCATATTGCCATCACTATCGTTATGTCTGTTCACCCTCGTATGACGACGACGACGACGACGACGACGGCCGATAACTGTTGCTACAACAACCTCCTCCTCCTCTTCCGCCTCCACTCCTCCTCCTCCTCCCTCCTCCTCTGCAGCGATCTTTGAGCTATGTACTCGCAAGCTTGGCATGGCTAATTAAGCTTAAACTACAACTGGAAACAGGGGCACAATGATGCGGAAAAAACAGTATCCAAACGAATGGGCAACTCGGCTACGAGTTCACGCAATAGCAGCGATTCGCATAAATCTCTCGCGCAGCGAGTCCCTAAAGGACTGCACACACTGCAGGAGCCGCCTCTAACCTTGGAGCTCACTGCCGACTCCGTCACAACCTAAAGCCCCATGAGCACAACCTCGGGAACGCCGTGCCCCCAGAACCCTAAGCCCTAAACTCCCTAAACCCCAAATCCCGGTATATCGACCCCGACTACCCTTTGCCAGGCCCGACATACCTCTACTGCGGACCACATGGCCTCCGGGAATTTCGGTGCAGATCCCAGCCTCGAATCAAGAACACAGGAACTCGGACGCTTCTGCTCGGGTTTCGCCTCTCATTTTAGGGCTTTCGGTTGAGGGTTTTTTCCTACGGCTTAGGGTTTACGCTCTCACAACTCGGACATGCCAGGCGAGGATCCACGGTTGAAGGTCGGGTGACACAGGGTTCGACTTGGCTTCAGGGATTAAGCCGATGTAGGGTGTACTTCCGGGCTTCAGGGCATTAAGGCCTCAGGGCCAATGGATGCAGGAGGGGTTTTGTTCCGTAGAGGGTAAGTGTTGCTGGCTTCAGGGTAGAAGTGTTCAGAGCTGTCGGGTGTAAAGTGTTTAGGGCTATAACTACATAACAAGGGCTAAGGCTCTATGACTTCGACACGTACAGGCTCAGGGGACTCATTCAAATTCACATTGGCCCACATCTTCACACCGAAACTGCTCATCAGGGAACGATCGACTATCCCAAATGCAAAACCCAATCCTTGAAGAAGACTTTGGGAGATCATGGCTGAAACGGGTCGCAAAAGACCCTAGGCCCTCGACAAAACAGATAGTACGAGTGCGATCCTAATGACAAGGACCCCCTTAACAAGAAGCCTGCAAGAGCCCTTGTACAATCCCATGAAGGACTTTCCGAAAATTAGGGTACCTTATTTTGGGGTCCTTATAATAAGGAACCTATGATTTAGGGTACTATATTAGGGTGCCCTATTTTTGGAAACCCTCATGAAAGCACCAGAAAACCGGGTAAAACCATTGCAGCCCGGGCTGCCGCAGGAGTTCCTCCGCTTCGTTGCTCTGCGGCCGTGGCTTCGGGGCACCTAGCAAAGCCGGCGGTCCATACACACAGGGTTTAGGGTTTTAGGGTTTAGGGTTTAGGGCTAGGACTGTCTATACTCTGTCCATTGAGGTTTGCATGCAGAAACGGTTGTTTGTTTGGTTTATCAAGGGATTCCATGTTCACCCCCGCATGCTGCTGGTGCGGTGACTACCTAACGCAGAGAAACAAAGACAGATAGCACACACAGCTTGCACGCCCGGGCTCGGCAAGGCAGAACCGCGAGCGAGAGTCCGATGTCCGTCAGCACAAGCGGGCAAGGTCACCTACTGTACAGACCTTGCGGCCCATGCAAAACTGAAAAAGCCTTTCGTGAGCCGCCCGAAGGAGGGAGGGATCAGAAGGGAACAACAAACCGCCAATCCGAAAAGTGACCCCGAACTCAACCAGAGAAATGCCATCCACCAAAAGATCAACCCTCCGAAGGGCAACAAAGATCCTACGCAGAGCCTTTCGTAGGAGGCTCATCTGTACAGCTACCGTGAGTGCCGGAGCACCCAGTGGAACGTCAGCACGGCTCAGCCACCGATCAGAGTCCAAAGCTCGCACCGGGAAACAAGGGGCACCGGCTTCCAGAATCATGAAGACAAGCTCGAGCCAGGAAAGGCGCCTCCATGGCCCCGCCGCCTGGCTTTGAACTACCAGAAAGTCGCCCAGTTGCTCCAGAAAAGGCCGTGGCAATTCCGGGCAGGCCTGTTGGATGATTTGTCGCCAAGTAACCGGGAGCTCCTCGGCAAAAGGGGCTCCAGGGCTCGCCTCCGAGACCAGTTGCGGTAGCTCAGGCTCTTCCAATTCGACCTCCAGTGTATTGACTCGGCCTGGAAGAGAGGTGATGTCCGCGATGCCAAAGTAGATACCACGCAATGCCTGGAGTGCCTCTCGCATGCGCGTATGCCAATCAAGTGCTTGTTCATGCGCCTGTCGCAAAGCCGCCGACCGATTGAGGTTAGTTAGACCAGCAACCGTGTCCGCGTAGCCATTCCATTGGATGAGCCAGTCCTCGAAGGGCGAGGTTCCACGGGCAGGGTCCAGATGAGAAGGAACATGCTGCACTATCAACTGGCCTGCGGGAAACGCGGCGACAAGCTCGGCCAGGAGTTGCCAGAGGTCAAGGTTTTCGGAATCACCCATATCCAGTCCGCACAGCAGGCGACGAATGCCCTTTCCCACCATTGTGGAGTCGGTCCACAGCGTCAGCGAAGCTTCCATCCGGAGTCCCCATTTGAGGCTGGCGATGGCGCCCCAGAGTTCCGCTCTTTGGGCCGTTTGAGCAAGTCCAGGCACTGAGCCGCAGGCCAGTATGTCTCCCGTGGTTGCATTTACGCAGCCCCACGCCGCAAGGGCGAAGGAGGGTGTGGTCGTAAGTAGACATGAACCATCACAAAAGACATGCTGCGGGCCATCGGTGCATCGTGAGCTGGCGAACTGAGCAGAGCGGTCCGGGAGCTGTGACAGCTGGGTATGGAGCGCGGGCAAATGCGGATTGCTCGGCGGCAGCAGGTGAGTTCGCAAACACTCTGGCAGATTAGGCCATTCTGCGCAGACCCAAGAATATGGGCAGCGAGCGGCAGCAAAGCGTGGGCAGTGGCAAACCCGATGCTCCGGTGTGTCCGGTATCCCACAGGAGGGGCACAGCCCATCATTAGTTGCATCAAACTTGGAGAGACTGGTTCCAAACATGAAGGCGCCACTGCGCAAAGCGGCCAAGCGAGCCTGATTCAGGGCACTAAATCGGCCGGTGTCAGCTTCCAGAAGTGAAAGGTCTATGCCGTGCAAATCATGCATAGTTGACCGATGCCTGTGTCGAGAGGCGACGTAGTTGAGCCAGGCTTGTTCACTGAGCTTACGAAGCAGGGTCGAAGGCATCAACAGAAGGTTGTGCTCGAAGCCTTCGTGATCAACGATGCACGGAGGCGTATCAACGCGCCAACCGATCTGGCCAAGAACCTGCAGTAGCTTGGAAAAGGGCCCGGGCAACAACTGTCCCTGAAAGCCGGACATGAAGGCACGCCATAATGACAGCACCCGGTCATTTTTAGCAGCCATGCGCCGAAGGTCCCGCAAAGCACACCAAAGTTGGTAGAAGCCCGGATCGGCTTCCATTGTGCCGCAGGTTGACAAGCGGAGCATGGAGCTCGAACCGGCAGTATTGCAACCGAGTGCGCGGACGGCCTGTGCACGTAGGGAAGCGAAATGGGCATCAGCCAATGGGCAACCCGCGATACCATGCAGGGCATAGGCCCAAAACTTTGCCGGCAACGCATATAACTTTTCCCGAAAGGCGCAAGGGGACCTTTTCAGTCGGCCAAACCAAGGGGCCATTGCATGGCACCGCTGCACCAAGTCCGAGTTTTTTGTGGCACGGCCAAAGCTGATATAGCCTCCAAGCTCACGGGCGTGGTCAACTATGCGAATGCCGAGGCCTTTGAGCTGTTGGCGCAGGTCAGGGCGCACCGCCCAAACATAGGTCTTGTCCTCATCTGTTGACAGGGAGAACATGTCCAGGAAGGTTCGCGAAACATTGATCCCGGCTGCCAGCTGTCCAACGGACTGCGCAGTGCAGCAAAGGTTGTCGACATAAGAGTGAGGGACAGCTTGGCTGGTGAACGCCTCAATGTAGGCATGAAAGCAAAGGCAAACCAAGCTCATGCCTACCGTGCTCAACGCGCAGCCTTCCGGGAATCCAACCGTGGAAGTCACCGCTTCCCCAACTTCGCGGCGGATGATGAATCGCCGCTCAAGGCCTGACAGGAAGCATTGCCATGGTGAAAGGAGATTGGTCGGCATGCCGATCCACTCCGCAATGTCAAAGACTGGCTGCCTGGGGAGTGCATTGAAGGCCTTGATAACATCGGTGCAGTAGCCGGCGAGTGGGAGATCGCTTTGGCACGCCAGCTCAATCTGGGCTTCGAGAAGCCACCAAAATTGAGAAGCTTCGCGTTGCGGCATAAAGCCGAGGGCGGTGGGTGGGAGGAGACCGGCGAGCCAACGAAGGGCCTGTCTGGCCCGGATCCCGCTCCAGGCGCGGTAAGCACAGCTTAGTAGGCAGATGGGCCGGTAGCCCTGTGTATCTTGTCGCTCATTGGGTTTCTTCAAGCAACAGACCAGGCCAATGAGCCATTGGGCAGGCCAAGGGCGCACACCTGATTCAATGTCCGAAAGAAAATTGAGCACAATTTGCGCGTAGCAATCGGGCATATGGATCAAGTCCAATCGAGCAAGGCCGTCCGCACCGCGCGCGGCTCGCGGCTTGAAGCGCTTCAGTGCAGCGCGCCACTGTGCCAGGTCGATGGGTGGGAGTTCCAGGCGGGACTTCGGAAGAAAGGCTTGGGCGAAAGCCGTGATCCTTGACCAGTCCGTGGTAGCAGGATCGAAAGACCGCTTCCAAAAGGAAGACCAAAGTTTCTCAAATTCATTCTGTACATGGACAGCCGAGGAGAGAACAGTGGTTTGTTCGAGCTCGGCCTCAGCATGCAAAGCGGGGCAGTCGGGGATACGACAGAGGTCCCCCGATATCTCTGTCACCTGAACAGTGCAACCGTCTAGCTGCCATTGGCTGCAGCCACGTTCATCAATCTCAGCATCAAGGTGGACACTGCAGGTGGAGGGCTCAACCGCAAGGATATGATAAGTTTTGCGCAACTCAAGAGTATCCACTTGTTCCGGCCTTGGGTCACGGAGGTCGCGAAACAGAAGATCGCGGTTGTGAGCGTACTGCTCGGTCAGAATGGCCTGACGTTGCCGAACGTTCCAGGCTTCGAATTTTCTGTAATTGTCGCGGAAGTCCAAAAACAGCCTTCGGCACACTTCAGCGGACGGGAGCCAATGAGGAAGGTGCTGCGGGGAACCAACCAGCTGAACCGGACGTCTGGGCCACCACTGTGGAAAGCTGGGGTGGAAGCCTTTGGCAGTGAGAATTGAACGCCACAAACCCAAGCGGTGTTCAACAGCACTAGGGGATTGTCTGCCGGCTTGCAAAGAGTGGTCCAGGGATTGCATGCGGCGCAGTTGTTGGTACCATCGCTTAACTTCCAACGACAAAAGGTCATGATGCATAGCTTCTTCTCCAGGGCGAGCAGGCCGAGGAGGGTGTGCCATTACATGCTGGTTTGGTGTAAGGCGCTGTGCTCGGCCGTGGCATCGGTGTGGCAGTCGTCTGCCTGGTACACCCTTAACGAACCCATCAAGACTTTGTTCAAAGTGGCGGGCGAATGATTGAAGCCATCTAGTGGAGTCAGGCTCATGGATGGAAGGGGCCGCGCAAGCTTCAGTCCAAGAGGGAACATCTACATCTGCCCAGGGGATTTCTGCTGGGAAAGGCCAGGATTGTACACGGTGGACCCCAGTCAACCGAATCCCGGCGATTACAGTGGCATGCTCAGCAAATGTGTTGGTGACACGGACTTCGCCGCACAGAGCTGCCGCCTCAGGACTGAGGAAAATGAAATCCCGATGAGTGGAGCCTTTGCAGGTAGGGACGGGCTCCTGTTGCCATCGAAGAGCTGCCAGCTCTTGAGCTTCAATCCAGCCTTGCTGCTTCCAGATCTGAACCTGGTCAAGGTGGGCGTGCCAATGATTAAAATCCCCGGATATCATACGAATGCCTTTGCGGCCAAGGACCAGCTCATGCGTCAATGTTTCCAGCAAGCGCTCGGTGCGGGCGCGAGCATCAACATAAGTTTTACCGGAAGGGAAGCCATAAACATTGGCAGTCAGGATCGGCGTGTCGTGTACAAAGTGGTGCAAAGCTTGGATCCTGCCAGTGTGGAACGAGTCATGCAGCCATTGCAGCTGCACCGGTCGGCAAGGGTAGTCGCTCAAAGTGAGGACCCCGGTCCACGAGCCAGCGAAAGAGGAGCCGGTTCGCAAAGGAGCAGGAGCTCCGGCAAAAATGCGCACATCCCGATGCAAAGCAGCGGTGAGGGCTTTGAGGGCTCGAGACGAGCTGGGCAAACTGATTGCAGAAAGCTGGGTTTCTGATAACTGCCAGATACCAGGGCCAAGGTCGGCCACATGTTGTTCTTTGCCACGAAGGCCACTGGGGTTGGAAGTGCCAAAGGAAATGAGGGGCTCGGGTCCAGGATTGGAGGCCTCGCCATAACGCCGAAAAGGGGCGATTTGGCGTGCGTCTGTGGGCACCCAAATCAAACTGACCCAAAGCAAGAGACGGAAGAAGAAAGAAGGCCTGGAACAGGTCGGCCTGCCTCCGAACCCAAGAAGGCAGCCGGGTCGGCCTAGTCACTCTGATCTTTGCTTTTTGGAAAGCATGGCTTCAAGGGAGGCCGTCTGAGTGGCAAACTGATCAGACATATCGTTGCGGAGTGCAGTCACTGCTTGAAGGATGGATGTGGAAACATCGGACCTCAGAGATCCCAGCTCGGCCTTCTGTGACGCAACGATTTGCTGCACCTCGGCCACCTGTTGAGCCTGCTGCTGCATTTCGGAGCCCACTTTCTGAAACCACTCTTCGAACCGTGAGTTCTGCACGCGAACCTCCTTCAAGCCGACTTCAAGCTTCTGAATGCGTTCATCAGACACAGGATCTGGTATCGAAGCTGCGGATGTGGCGGCTTGAACCTCCTTGCGGACCAGGGTGGCCAGATTGGACTGGAGCTCGGTCTTAACTTGGGAAAGTTTGCTCACTGCAGCTGAGGGTGTGGCAGAACCTGTCGCTGCAGAAGTGGCAGGGGCTGGGAGACCGGGTGGCGGGCGGGCTAGACTCCAGGGGTCCTGCCCTCCAGCCCAGGGATCCGAGGATGAAGAGGGCACATCAGGATCGTCATAAAGAATGCGTCGTCGAGTGCGGTTTGAGGCGCACAAAGTATCCGGTTTGGCCTGAGGCCCGACATCCTTGGTTTTGTGGATAAGGACGAAAGAGTCGCCCGCCTGCATGATAGAGGCAGGGGGTTCCTCTGCACTCCCAACTTCCCAAGCGCAGCCGGATGAGTCGCCTTTGCAAGGCTGCAGTGGCTTTGCCGCCCACTTCCATTTGCCCAAAAGCTGGGCAAGGGTATGTCTCTGCATGCCATGAGGCAATGGATGCAGCCGCCATCTGGAAAGAACCCTCACCTTAACAAAGGTATGCTGCGGACGAAGCTCCTGAAAAACCGCTTGCTCGTGTTCATCAGGAACACGGAGCCCGTACTTGGAGCCAAGGCGGGCGAGGCCAATGGCTTTGTCGCAAGTCCGGAGCAAATGTGTGACCTGGGCTTTGTCCTTGCCTGGCAACCAAACAACCGCAAACGAAGGGTGAGGCCCGAAGCCGGTTGCGGCGCGCGGCTCAAAGTAGAAACCAGACACGTTGATGTGCTGCAGATGCTTGCTGGCAGAGCTTGGCACACGAATCAAGGACTGGAAGACCTGTGCAGAGGCCGGGTCAGCTTTACCCCCGTCCAACTTGGCAAATTGCCGTGCCCAAACATCCAGAAGCATGTGCTCAACATGTTCGTCCACCGCCGGGTGGAATGCCGCGCAGTCCCCCTTGCAGTTCTTGTCACGACAGAGATTGAGGCCTGGCACATGTTGGAGCAAAGACCTGATCGGGGCTTTGATGAAGACCTCCCAGTCGAGTTGAGCCTCATCCCTGAACAGCGACACCCGGCCCGTAACAGTGTCCAGCTGGTCGATTTCTCCCATGTCGGCATCCGCGGAGGAAAGCTGGACATGCTCGTCTCCCAGCTGCAGCATGGAGCCGCTAAGGAGAACGGCCTCCTGAGTAGGAGAGAAAACGGCAGGGAACCTGATCTGGCTAACAGGCGCACCAGCGCAAACCTCAGTAGGCAAAGGGGCCGTGGAGACGAGGGCCAGTGCATCGACGCTAAGAACCCTATAGGCCGTGATGAAGGGCATCATCTGCTGCGCCGTGCAAAAGGCAATCCCTTGGGCCTGGGAGACCACCTCGTCGAAAGCCAGCTGTGATAGTGGCGAGTTCTGCCCCGAGACAAAGGACCCAGCCGCAAGCTGCAGAGAAAGAGGGTCAACGTTGAGCACAGGCTTCTGAGAGCGGGTCTGTTTTTGTTTGCGCTCCTTGGCGTTTCCAACCGCGGTGCCGAATCGTTGGGCCGCCTTCGCTTGAGCATGAGCCTGAAGCTCTTCAGGGCGGATCCAACGAAACAGTGCATTGGGCTGTGAGCCCGCGGCCTTCAAGGCCTGCCAAGGATTGTCAGCCTGCAGACACTTAGCCAGGGAGCCGGCGCCGATTCTTTGAGTGGCGGCCTGAATGCGCTCTGTAACCGAAGGCTCCGGCACCCCACGCTCAAGCAACAAAGTCCGAAGCGAAAGCTGTTGGGCTTCAGAGAGCCCACCGTAGCCATGCATGGACGATTGGTGTGGAGGCACGAATCGGCAAAAGTTGATGGCGTCCTCAAGCAGCACCGAAAATGGCTGGGAGGCCTGCATAACCTGTGCAGCGAACGCCAAGATCATCGGTCCGCACGAGTTCGGCTGGTGTTGCACCGGCAAAGGTGGGGCCTCGACAATGGGTTCGGGGAGGCCACAAGAACGACAAACCAAAGATGCCAGCCCCTGGGCTGCTGCAGAGCTGTGTCCAGGGACCCCGTCATGAAGGGTCGCAGAGACTTCACCCGAATCGGCCCGCTGCAAAACCAAGAGGGACCAATGCTTTTCCCACAGGAAAGGAAGCAGGACTGCCTTGCAACCCGACGGCCACGTGAAGGGTGTGCTCCCTTCTGCTTCCTGGTGCAACCAAGCAAGTCGGAGCCAATTTGTGACAATGGTCGGAGGGACAACAAAGAAATGTTGGGCACTGGCAGCCTGGAGGCGTAGAAGGCCCGTCCAGATCGTGACATCGGTAGTGCCTGTGGTCTCCGGAGCCTTCAGTGTTTGCTGCGGGGCAGATTTGCCAGCAGACTTCGGCCTAATCACGAGGTGATAGCAATCAGAGGGTCGGGCCGGGTGTAGGAAGGCATAGGGTGGGAGCCTTCGATCACCTTCAAACACAAGGACCAGGACTCCAGGGCCTTGCAGCTCCTTTTCGGCTTGAACCAGGTTATTGACCCGAGTTGGGCCAGCCACCTGCATTTCCAGCATAGCGCTGTCAGTGATGAAGCGCAAGCAAGCCGCGTTCTGAAGCGATGGGATCAGCCAGCTGTCTCTGCGTGACTCAAGCAGCGAATCCTTAAAAGCCTGGAGCAACTTGCAAGGATCTGTCAGGCCGGGCAGACCGAAGGCCGATTCAGCCCATGCATGTATGTGTGCCGAAATCCACAAGGATTGCAACGGGGCGGTCAATTGGCCCGCCAAGCACAAGGCAGCGCGGGGGTCTGGGAGGTGCAGGAAGGTGGCCGGGAGGGAATTAAGAAACCCTACTTCACTGGCGTGAAGGAATCTAGTACCCGAAAGCCCAGCAGCAAGAACCCCTACACCCTTAAGGCCCTGGGCCCGCAAGGCGGCATCTGTGAAGCGGCAAGGCCTGCATCCGCAAGGGCAAGGCTGCATTTCCGAGCCCCAACAATGAAGGGCAACTGGGGCTTGCTCTTGAGTATTGATGTATCGGTTGGTGCTGCCGTACACCGGGTCGGCATACAACTTCTCCTCATCTGGTGTCCAAGCGAGGCCTTCTTCTTGTGTGAGAGGCCAGAGAGGCCACTCCTCGATGACATCAGCAATCACAAGCTTTGCCTGGGCAATAGGCCAAGGAGGCAGGTGCAAAGGCGGCAGTTGATTCGGCAGCAAGATGCACCACCAGCGAGGCCGGCGGGATGCCCACTGGTCACTCAAGTCCAGGCTGACTTGGTGTGTCTGGTAGTGCATGCGTTGCGCAAACACCCCAATCATGTCCATAGCCGGTTTGTGTTGCTGAATCTGTGTGCCGCATTCCAAGATCACCCCGGCAACTTGACATCTCCAGGCAATCTGCAAAGCGTTTGTCAAGACAAGATCCCCGCTAAGCAGAGCCCCATCCCGAAGCCCCTGAGAAGAGAACCCAGTGCATGGCAGTCCTGCGGCAAGCACGTGCCCGCGGCCTTGGCAGATCTGCGCTATGCGCGCTTGCGTATCACGAGCACCAATGTCTCCGAGCAATGCGTTGCCCCCATTCAGGCGGAGCGTTTCATAGGCAATCGGTGCCTTGTCCACTTGCAGTAGAATCTCTGTCCCGGCAAAGCGAGCGCCTAGGCCTAAACCACCAATGCCTGCACAGACCTCAACCATGGTGCGAAATGCATCTGCTGTATATTCGGGCTTCGGGAAGGCTCGGGAGTCGATGGTTCCTCGGAGCTTACCCACGTTGCGATCTATGGATTCAAGAATGTAGCCATACAAGGTCCACGTCCCCGGTTCCAATGTGTCGCAGGAGTAAAGATCACCATGCCAAATGCCCCTGAAGACATGTCCTTTGACGTGTGTGACTACCAGGTCCAGAGAGGAGCCCACCTGAACCTCCCGCAAAGCCAAATCACCGAGTGGCCCTTCCATCAGCACGGTCCCTCGAGGGTTTGTAGTTAACAGCTCTACCAGCTGGAAGGTCTCGAGCCCAGAGCTGAAACAAAGACAGATAGCAACCCATCGAGCAGTGGCCTGGCCCGATGAACAGAGACTACAGAATCTGTCAGGAGTAACACCAAAGATCGTTGTGTGCGCCCCTCTGAGTTATTTCCTACTGTGCTTCCTCGGGCTTTGCCCTGCAGTTTAGAAAAGAAGCTTCCTCGATCAACAGACACTTATATCGGGGGCTGAATAGGCAACTGTTAGAGTATACTGTATACTCGTACTAAAGATCCCTATAAGGCATGGTACTGGTTATTTTTGAGGCTCTTCTATTGCAATTGCTTCACAATGGCCTGGAGCTTGCCGAGCAGCTGCCACAGCCATGAGGTGCCGCGATGCGGTGCCCAAGCTTTGGGGCACGGAACACTTAGCCAGGCTACGCCACTGAGATGATCTTGGGTTTGGCGCTTTGGAGGCGCAGGGACCAAGGGCTCAAAGGGTTTACAGTTCCAGGCTTTCAGAGCTGATCACTGGGGATTTGGCGTCATGGTGATAACAGGAGAAGAGGGCACCTCTCATGCCCACTGTGGGTCTTCTGATCCAAGTAGACCCCCCCAAGATAGCCAGAGCTCGTGGCCTACGACTAGCTCTAAATGTAGGGATTGAGCCGTGGGGATCGGAAGCGGTTGTGGATTGGACTGTCTTGCTTATGAGAGGGGCTCGGCGAAGTGCACGTTTACAGGAAACTTGAATGTAAGTTGCCGGGTCCATGTTGCCTGCTCCGGGCCTCAATTCAGCTGACATCAAGAGCCAAAACCAGCGCCGAGACTGCTCCATGCTTGCATCTCCAATGCTACAACAATTGGGCCTTGTGCATCATCCATGAATGTAACCCCAGAGTCTCCAGAGACAAGCATGTGACGTAGACAACTGGTCTCTACGTTGTCACTGCCCCCGAACGGTAAACCAAAAACTTCAAAAACCCCGGGGGCTTCAGCCAGAGAAGCTGCCGCGCCATGAACTCATAGGGTTTCTCTGGCTGCTCCTTGATCACCTGAAGATCGGTACCGGAAGTCCCCAACACTCTTCTACTCGTCTCTGAGGCTTTTCTGTCATGATAGCGACAAGCCTTAGCCGACCTGAACCTTTCAATCCGAAACCTGCTCTGTCTTAGCGCCAGGATCATAAAAGCTCTGAATGTTTGGAACAGAAGATCTTCTGGGAATCATCGCCGGGCTGCTGTCTCCCATAATCTGAGCCGACGAGCCCTTGATCAAACCAGTAACCCTACGAGGACACTCGTAGACAGATGGGGTCATCTAAGTTATTAGTAGTAAGGCAACCCCAGCTCTGTTGTGTAACTCACCACGCTGGGAGCTATTGTAAACCCTGTTTCCTCCACCCTCAACCAAAGTGAGGGCTTTTCGAGCCCTTGCGCCAAGGCGCGCTCTGCACCAGAAGCTGCGTAAACTCGACGAGGTTGTGCTTGTCCAAGTACTCGCGAGCGGCACTGGCCTGCTGTCTGAGAGTCTCTGTTTGATGATGTAGCCGCTTCTGCTAGCAATGTGATGCTTATCGTCGTGGTCATCAGAATCACATCATCTAACAGCATTATCAGAAATTCTTGCTACACACCTGCAGCCACAACGACATTCCCAAGTTCCGAAGCCACGGCCTGACCGATTCGTGAAGCCGCGGACGTGTTCCCTTGCAAGGATTTCAGGCTTACCGGCTCTGGCAGCTGTGGGGGTTTAGGGCTTAGGGTTTATTGGGCTTCTCTAGGTCGAGACATAGTCTGCTTTCAAAGGGGCTCAAAGTGTTGACGTAGGCAAGGCTCTACAAATTTTGGGGCGGTGTTAGGTCGCCAGGTAGCGGCTGGATTCAGTTGGGTTTCGCAAAACTGAGACTGGCCTGGCGGAGCCGGATGCTACCCAAAAAAAACTGCAGCGACCCCGATAGCGTGCAACTTTTGGGAAAGAAGAAAACCAGAAGGGCCCACCACTCTCCCTTCCCCACGCCTTTGTCGGAGGTGTCCTGCTGCTGCTCCTGCAGGAGATGGCACTGCTCTGGCCGTGATGGTGCACCCCTATCCTTGCAACATCTGCGGGCCGAAACCCGACACCTAGAAATCTGCAAAAGCATGTTCATGCGGCTCCAGAGTCTCATTGCAGACCATGATTGGCGACGAGCCCAGCACACAAAACCACCCCAGAATCGGACTGTCTGAAATTTCAAGTACACACCTCCTGGGCTTCGTCGGATGGGCTGACTGCGATGGTCACGAACATGTCCCCACTGCCTAAGAAGCTGGGTGTTGATGGTCGTTCATCTTTCTTGTTTTCACCAGTCCGTCATACGTGTCTCGTCGTCATCGTCGTGAATTCTTCTACTAGTGGCATCAAACCAGAAGGTTTCCTGTTACGGCTCGCCTAACCATTGCGATTACACTTTGATTCAGTGAGTAGTAGGAGGGGTAGGAGCAGTAGGAGTACGAGTAAGAGTGGGAGTAGGAGTGGGAGTAGGAGTAGGAGTGGGAGGAGAAGTAGTAGCAAGAGGAAGAGGAAGAGGAGGAGGAGCAGCAGCAGAAGCAGGAGCAGTAGCAGCAGCAGTCGCAGTAGCCGTAGCAGTAGCAGTAGTAGTAGCACGAGCAGGAGGAGCAGCAGCCGCAGTAGGAGTAGGAGTAGTAGCTATCGTTGTCCTACTACTACTCCTGCTGTTGCTCCTGCTACTACCACCATCCACACTACGGCTATCATGATGACTATTATGGCCACTCACGGCTCTGAGTGTAGAACCGGTCTGGAGGCTTACGATTACGGCCTGTGGCCAAGAGTGGAACAAGTCCAACAGAATCACTGGGCCCTCGGGCCCTGTGGCGGCGAGGCGGGCGGGGACGGCGCGGAACCCTCGAAAGAGTTCGAGGCTTCCAATGGAATGGTATACCTTGGTTTGCGATAGGAGGTGTGGATTCAGTTTGCTATGTTTTGCTTAGGAGCTTAGGAACTGTGATATAAGGCTTGCGGGAGTCCATGAGTGCAGGTCTTGATAAAGAACTTACACATGGGGTTGCAGGTCGAGGCATCAGCTGCGGAAGCCGAGCTGTGCAGCTGTGCCCGTCTTCAGAGGGACGTAAAGCTCGAGGTTTTGAGGTTCGGGGATCAGCTGGCATCCTCAGGTGACCTGTTGGCTTTTCATCGGTGAAGCCTTCGGCTCAAGCATCAAAGACACTGGCTTCAGGGAGCCGGAAGTGTCTGCCTAGGCCTAGGCGTGCACCAACAGATTAACAGATTGAACCACCCGCACATCTTTGGCCGGAATGCTGGCAGTCAGTGCGCTTCTCCTCACCTGAGAGACGGCAAGGCTGCAATGAGTTTAGGCTTCTTGTGTCTGTGCGGCTTCCCTTCTGGATATCCCTGGTTCTTGTCCCTTGAATGGCAAATGCTCATCTCGCCTACCAGTTCAATGGGCAGTAAGTATGTGATCTCAAGATGGGGCCCAAAAAACCCAGGTCCGCCTTCCAAACCTTGAACCTTCTCTCCCTTAGCAGTCACTAGTCACCGCGAAAGCCTTCTATACTTGCAGCTGTAAAGCTACCAGTATTCCCTTATAGTCCTTCAACACTTATAGTACCATATACCAAAACCACTACTCTAATTTCTGGGGCCCCGGTTTTAAACCTAAACGACCGATCGGACCCTGACCTGGTCGCAAAATCAGTCGGGCCGTCGCCACGGGCTCGAGGACGTCCACCTCCAAACCAACTCAGCTCGAAAGACCAGCGCTGCAATGGGTTAGTGCTGTAGTGAGCAATACTGGTAGTGGGGAATAGTAGCAAGTAGCTGCAGCACGAGGAGGAGGAATTGGTAGCATTAGCGGTAGCAGCGCAGCGGTAGGAATAGGACTAGGAGTCGGAGTAGAGTAGGACTAGGAGTCGGAAAATAGCAGCAGCAGCAGCAGCAGCCTCTCTGGAGACCCCTCCAAGTGCGCGAACACAAAACCCCGTGAAAAGCATAAAGGCCTTGAAAGGCGTTGCTTCTGCAGCGGTGCAGTTGAAGCGGAAAGGCCGGTCTGAAGAAACTGGGGCCTCGCAAGGCTCGGCACTCAGGACGAAGATTTCGGGTTTCGGCGCTGAGATTGACGTTTGGGGCTCGGGTTGATTTTCCTTTGAGGCTGCCTGCGCTGTAAGCCCAGTCGTACTTTCCCGACTGTCGCTGCGCGGAACTTCAACAGAGCCAACTCCAGGTCATCATCATCAGCCACGGCAGCCTCACTTTCATGATCCTGACATTCCCCTTCACTTCGCATGCATCTACTCCTGCATTGCTTCTTCCGTGTTAAATTCCGTGGGCGTGCCGAGAGTGGCTTTCACGCAGGAATTCTGTTGCCATTATTGCCGCTGCTATGTTGACGGCTGCTTCTACTATCTCCTGCTGCACGCGGCTTTTGGTACTACTTGCAACATGCTCAATGCTCATCGTGCTCATGCTTTGCTAGCTCAATTATAGCGTTGACAGGATCCAAAGTTGTTTCTACGGTGCGTAGTATGGCTTGATTCGTTGTTTGGTATGCCTTAGTATGCATTCAAACTCTCTCTCTCTCTCTCTCTCCCGGGCATGGGGACGGGTCAGCGTCCCCGGGCACCTGGCCCACCCAACGTCTTGTTGGGCCACGGGGAGTGACGAGCGAACATAGACCGACAAGAGGCTGAGGCCATATAATAGTATGTTCTCAGCGAAACATGCAGCCCGCAACCGAAGAGTACTACGTCCGACTGACAAGAAAGAACAAACATGAGCATGACATCGAGGACATTCCCCGGCCCAGATTCTTCTCTCTCTCTCTCTCTCTCTCTCTCTCTCTCTCTCTCTCTCTCTCTGGCGGACTCAGAGGTCTGTCAGCCGCGCGGACGTCTAGCACGATACCAAAGACCCAAAGAAGAAGTATGCATTGAAACAGTATACCATAAAGAAAACATGCGGATGTGTACAACTATGCAATCAAGGCATAACAGCTGTTGTGTACTTGTAGTAGGCATTTGCTTCGGTCCAGTGTTGTAAACGATTTAGCTCTGAGCTCAGCAGCATTATAGCCACTTGCATGATCCTGAATGCATACGTTGTTCTGAAGAGCGACTCCTGCACACAATCCCCTTGACTGGAGTACAGCTGTTCTACCGCATTTTCGCGCATCGTGTCTGACCTGCCTGTCTGCGGGTGGCGCCGGCTCGCACCGACAGCACGCACCCCTCCGGAATGCCTTCAGTCTCCACTACCTGAAGCACGAAAACAATACCACGGTGGCACAATACCACTAAGAGTAGGCACAATAGCTTAACTGCAACGCCAAGAGTAAGTGACAGTAGCAACGGCAATAGTAAGATCACTCACTTCTAGTGCTGTGTAACTGCCTTGTAGCAAGGCCGGAAGATTTAGTAGCTCTTAGCTCTCGCACCGCCGGCCATGACAGCTCTGAGTAATCGATTGGCAGCGGGTTCGTGTTGAGGATTCGGTTTAGTGTGTAGGGTGCCGATTCGCCGCTCCTTCTAAAGACGGACAGTCTGTCTTTGTCTGCTCGTTCCAATTTCGCAGATTACCCCGGAACGCAGCGCAAGAACACAGGCAGCCCCAAAAGCGGTTTTGGGTTTGCACGCTCAAGCTGGGCCTAGGGGGCCCAAAACGGCACAAACGAGCCATCCTGTACAGCTCCAGCAACAACTGTGACAGCAGCATACAAACTCGCACCACCTATATTATGTAACCCTACCCAGTACACGTAAGGTCAAGCTTGGGTGGTCCTCCCCTCCGACGTGAAGTTGAACATCCTCCCCTCCCCATGACTTCTACCGATATAACTGATGATCATCAGCGGTGCTGCACAGGCCGGAAGACAATGGCACGCACCACACATTACCGTTATGACTTGATTTCAGCAAACCGTCAATCTCCAGATAGTTCAAGCAAGCTAGCCGGACTGGCAAACGTTCCTGAAACGATGATGCAGAAACCCATGGCAACAGGAGCGACGACAACAACAACGACAACAGCAACAACAACAAAAACAGCAGCAGCAACAACAAAAACAGCAGCAGCAGCAGCAGCAGCAGCAGCAGCAGCAGCAGCAGCAGCAGCAGCAGCAGCAGCAGCAACAACAAACAACAAACAACAAACAACAAACAACAAACAACAAACAACAAACAACAAACAACAAACAACAAACAACAAACAACCACCAACAAACAACAACCAACAACCAACAACCAACAACAACAGCAACAACAACAACAACAACAACAACAACAACAACAACAACAACAACAACAACAACACCAACAACAACAACACCAACACCAACACCAACACCAACAACAACAACAACAACAACAACAACAACAACAACAACAATCAAAACCAAAACCACAACCACAACGACAACCACCAGCACCAGCATCAGCACTAGCACCAGCACCACCATCACGACCACGGCCACGACTAGGACCAAGGACCACAACCACGACAACCACAGCCACGCCCACAATCACAACCACGACCAAAACCACGGAAGTAACAGTAGTACATGAGTTTAACCGCCAACAATACCACTAACAGTTGGTTGGTACCAGCATGTTTGGAATATCCAACCAATTGGAGCAACAGCAGCAACAGTGAGAATGACAACCATGCCGAACAGCGACAACAATAACATGATATATATATATATATGTACTTATCATATAGGTATATATAGTTATAGATAGTTGTATATCGTTATATATATAGTTACATATAGCTATATTTAACTGTATATAGTTATCTGTAATTATCTTCTTGCCAGGTTGGAGGTGCATGGAGCTCCATCAGCTCTCCGATGTGCCGGGACCTCAGCGATATCGAAGCCTTATGGTGCCCTAAACCCGAAAGCCCCACAGCCCTTTACACCTGCCCTAAAGCCCTAAGCCCTAAACCCTGAACCCTCCTGATAGTACGTTATGCTTCGAGGATCCGATGTTTAGCAAGGGAAAGGCAGGCTAGTGATGGTAAGCAGTTCTTGCAAGTATACTCCTAATCTGTCCAAAATGCAGCACTGCCATGCGAGAACCTAAACCAAATAGCAAAACATACCATAGCGCAGCCCGGGCGCGCAGCTTCGAATTCCCACGCAGCGTCGCGCTTTGCTCGGCCGCGCGCCCAGAATTCGTACGGACACAGGAATGCAGCCTTGTTGCCTGTTTATGTTAAACTAAGAACAGACATGAAACGATTCTCCCAAACACATTCATGGGCCGACCGACAAGAATACTCCTGAGGCCATTATGCTGTAGAGCACCATCTCTGAGCCACATAGCTGGCCACAGCGAAAGCTACACGCGCGAGCGCATGCTGCGGAACATCAGTGCACACGGATGCCGCCATGCATAAGGTTTACAACCCAAAAATTACAAACAGCCTCCCGCGCCGCATCTACAGTGGAATGCTGCGATGGACCTGGTGCCCCGTACCTTCAAGTTTCGACTCAGAGCCCGTCCTGTCCGAGTGTAAGATCAATCAAGTCACAGGCAGCAATAGCCCAGTCGCGCAGCACTAAGAGTTGCGATTCCGGGGCTTTGGGGCCCAAAGTCTTAACCCAAACGACCACAAATAGTAATTCCATCAGATGAAAAGGAAGCCAGAGGCCTCTCTCTGAACTACCTGAACCCACTAGTAACCGGTAGCGTGTTTCTGATGTGAGTGAAGAGCTAGTCAACAATGAGGCTTTTGTACGATCAGCAGGGAAATCGCGTTGCTGTTATCACAGTACCAGAACTTGTTTCCACGTATTGACTCATTGCTGCCTTCTCGCAGAAAAAAGCACGAAATAAAGAGCACTACTTTCGTAGATGTACAAACCTCTCTCTCCGCTCTCTCCCCCGTCCCTTCAGAAACAACTCTACTCTACACCCCGGTGAAAACCCCGCTGCAGTTCGCCAGGGGCCTCCCTTCCACAAATTCCTCGAATGGCCTCTTGCAAGGGAGCCACATCCATGGTCTCTCTTGATAAGGATTCTCTTGGGAGGTGGAGGTTCAGAGAAGAAGACGAGCTGCTCAGATTAAGGAGTCTGCACTAAGACTTCAGAAGAACCGGAACAATCATCACCAGTACGTGATCAGCATCAAATTACGGTGCGTATGTTTTTACCTGGCAGCGAGCGTAGGCGTAGGATCGAGTACTGCTCCCACTGCTATCATGACAAGCCTGATCATGATGAGGCCGTTGCCCTGGCTGCGATTGCTCTTTGTCTTACCACCAGTGCTGCTGCTTTTCTGGTGCTCTACTGCTGCTGCTGCTGATCAGCTAATCACAAGACCAACGCAAACTGTTTCTGCTTCTTAGGATGTTCGCAAACCTGCACCGTCCTTGCCAACCAGCACCAGCAAGTCAAAGTCACAATCTTCGGCCTCAAACCCCGAAGAGGACCGTCCTCCTTGAGGATCTTTAGATGCGTGAGCGTAGAGATTTGGGATCTTGAGTTCGCAGTGTAGGGCGCCTCTAAGCCGTGGTTCTGCATCTTCATGCCCCTGCAAGCCCTCAAGCCTAGACAACCCCCTTTGCAGCGGGCTTGCCTTGAGGCTCGGGGGTAAAGCCTCCGCCCTAACCACTCCTTCCCAAGCCCTAACCCTAAACCCTAAAGCGCTAAACACCGACCCCAAAAAGCGGATGCCACCGGGCCTGGACCTCCTTCAGGCTGAAACCTTCGGTTTGCCTCCAAGAGCTGTCGAAGTGGCTCAGGGGGCGTAGAGGGGTTTAGGTTTTTAGGGCTTAGGGCTATTAAGGTTTGTGGGGCTTTGGGTCTATATGGTTGGTTCTAGGGCTTAGGGAGTTTAGGGTTTCTTGTTGGGCCTTGAGCGTTTTTTCGCAATGTTTCGCAGATACGAACTAACGAATGCAGATGTACCTCCTGTACGGGCCACTGCTGACTTGCACATATGTATAGACTTTTTTGACACTCGCTACATACATACAGTACATACATACATACCTACGTACATACATACATACATACATACATACGTATGCGAATGAATGTATGCATACACAAGCCCACAACATGTTTATAGTAAAATCGGGAATCCTGACTATTTCAGTTTGATGCGATAGGCGGTGAACAGACAGATGGGGCCAGAAACCCAACCCGTGCCAAAAAACTGACCCTTCGGCCCAGCATAAATTGTCGTCGATAAGGTATATCCATGATTCATCATGGGCCTCTCCCCATAAATCCTGCCGTCACTCCAGTCATCATCTGTTCTGGCTCTGGCAGCAAGAGCACGAAGTACAGCGCGTCAGCTGCTTGGGGCTCCGAGAGCCTCCAAGGGCATCCTCCTTACGCAGCCATACTCAACTGGGTTCTTGTTAAGGGATTTAATTTAAGTTACCATAATAGGGATCTATAGTAAATAATATGGTTTCCTTATTATGGTAACTTAAATTAAATCCCTTAACAAGAACCCAGTCAAACATGACCTCTCTGAAACCCTATAGAACCCTTCTAAACCCTGAACCTTACTTCGTGGAGAACCCGAAGCCCGTCCCGGAGTGCCTGTACAGGAGGATGAGGTAGGCCTGGGCTGTGAAGATTTCGACTTGAGTGTCGAGGGGATGTCCGGCTTAAAGGAGTGTTCGGGCTCAGGGTCCGGAATTCTTCAACTGGGAAAATCGATTCATTGACTGACTGACTGAGGAAGTGAGCCAGCGAGCGAGCGATGGATTGGTTGATGGTTTGATTAACTGACTGACTGACTGATTGATTGAGCGCATGTGGGTGTGAGCACAGGCGGTTTGCGGGTTTGTAGGCACGACTTAAGGCTTGTAGCTGTTAGAAACAAGCTGCGCAGATCTACCCAGCGAGATGCGCTACGCTCGGTCCGCTCGGTTAGCAGAACAAGAGACTCTGCACGGCAAGTCAGTGTGCTCTGCGCAATGTTGAATCTCCCACCAAATGCAACAGTATGCAACCGTACATCATCATGATTTGCTCGGCAGTAACCCTTGTACCAGTCAGCATCATGCCCGAAGGCTCCAATACAGCATTGCCGACAAACCGGATAAAAGTGTACATGTCAAGTCACGTAAACATGTACATGTTCATAGGTCAGCACTTGAGGATGTCTCATCCCTGCGCCTCTTTGTCTCGATTTCCCTGCATGTCTGGCACACTGCAGTCGGCATTCACAGCCGCGCGCTCTTTGGGCTGAGGCTGCTAACTAGGGCGCGGACAGCGGCACTACTCGCAGCTGACGGTTCACCGGTGAGGAGGCTGTGATCATGGCTGGGAAGGTCAAGTAGTTAAGCTCATCGTCCGGGACTAAGCCATGCTGAAGAGTTCTCGTGCTTGATTTAATATATATATATATATATACATATATATTATATAATAACAATAAGAATAACAATAATAATAATAATAATAAATTTCTGATTGCTTGATTGTGCGACAAGCCCCTCAGAGGAAGGTATGGAGCACCGTCGGCGGCCGCCGGCATCTCCCTGCCGGAAATACCCGAAATGGAAGACCCGTTTGCTCGCTAAAGGTTGCAAAAGCCATCTTGCGGAGGACGACGACGGCGACAAACCTGCCAAACACTACCAGTACCACTACGACGACGACGACCACCACAGCTCGAACTTCGGGCACCTGCTTGACCAGCTCGCGGTGGAGGCTTCGGCTGCCACCTGCCCGGGGAGCCATCAAGTCAGGTCCGCGGACTGTACAAAATGCAATGTACACGGGAAGTATTCTGCAGCCCCCCAAAACTGTGGGAACCACAAACCGTTCAAGCTTGCACGGCAGCAGATAAAGAGATATAGAGTCGCGACCCTTTCGCACCAGTGTCTTGCAGCTCCCTGGAGTCGACACGAAAAGTTTCCTACACGCCTCTCAGCCCAGAAGCCGCAAGAACAACATGATGTTGCTGTGCACCGTCACTTCCGGAAGTCTTACCGGGGGAAAAGCCCGCAGAATATGACAGACTTTCGGAGTTTCTTTGCACCCCATACTCCGCAGGCTGCCACCGCCTGCAAAGCCTGACCTTTGGCCACGGAGCCCCACGCCTGCTCCCTTTTCTGCTAGGCATTTATGGTGAGCGTTTGCTCTTTGGCGGGATCGTGGGCTTTGTTGGTCAAGACGCTTGCGCTCAAATGAAACCCCATATGCCCGCGCCTCAGTAGCGCCATGGGTGCGGCCATCGATGCAGCTGCCGTCTTCGGCGCAGGGGGAGGGGGTCCAGGAGCTGCCTGGCATGGACTCTTGAGGCCCCCTGTATGTCGGGGTCTAGAGTCTAGGGTTTAGGCGCTTAGGGCTTCGGGGACAGGGGTTTAAGATTTAAGGCTTTAACTTAGGGTGTAGGATTTATGTGTTTTGTAAGGGGAGGAACGGGCTTTCGGCTTTAGGATTCCGAACATACGTTTTCAGCTTCCTGTATTTTTGAGAAATCATGTTCATAAACCTTGCCTAGCCCACCCTTCCCACTGGAATTGAAGGAACAACTTGATAAAAGAGGATTTAGGATTCTCTGTGTTTGTTCTGCGGTTCTGCGTTTCATCATTGGACGGTTCGCGACAGGCGACGAGAGCACAGATTCGCGAGTCCGCGGACTGGATGCGAACCAAACGCCCAACACGGATCTGCCTTGGCTGCCACGGCTTCCGGTGGCCCAGCAGGGTTCAAGCCTGAACACCCGGCAGAGCACGCTTCAGGGCTTAAGTTTAAGGCTCAGCGCCCAGGCTCGCACCCTGAACCCATCTCGAACACAGAATTGCTTATGGGACAAAGTCCAAAATCCAAAATCCTAGCGCCCCACCTCCTTCAGCACCGGGCTTGGTCACCTGGATGCCCCCGACCGGGCCTGACGCCTGCAAGGAGGACTCTGGGACTTCGGGGTGGCAGCTCCCCGAGGCGCATGCAGGCGGCGTTTTAGATTTCTGCATCTCTGGGTGCTGGCCTTCTTGATGATCACCTGCGCAAGGCGAATAAGCGGCTGATAGCGATCTTAAGAGGCTCAGGCATGGAGATTGGGGCCATCGGGGATCAACTCAGCACTAGGCTGTCGTAAAG